ACATGAGCCGATTTTTGCAACTTTTAGTTTTCAATAGGCTTTTGGAATATGAAATCGGAAAAAAAATTTCTATAAAATGTGAATTTCCGAAAAACCCACGTACTGATTTATTTTCTTGAAAATGTTTTCAAAAAAATTGCCATTCATTCTGCAACCTTTAACCCTGCTTTCACAAGCTAAGTCTGCGAGACGTACATACATATGCTTCTAAAACTTTTCGCTGTATCTTCTTTGTGAAATGAAGATTGAACTCGTTGGTATTTCTATTTTAAAAAAAGATTTCTTAATAAAATCCTTTTAAATATATATTTAAACACTCCATATTTTTAGAAAAAACTTTCATAAAATTTCGTTTACCATAAAACGAAGGCAAGCAAACTATGATACGTCTTTTTGAATTAATGAACAACGAACAAATTTCGTCCAACTCAAGGCCAAGTACTCAAATCAGATGCATTAATCAGAAAGATTAAAATATTTCATTCTACATAAATGCAGTGGGAAGTACTTTGCTGCAACATATCATTTTCTTGAAATCTCTGGTAAATTCAAGGGGTTTTTTTTTGGAATGTAATATAAGGAGGAAAAAATGTTACTCATACGCCATGTGTGATTAAACTTTAACGAAAACGACAGCAATTGATTACGCGAAGGTTGTTAATCGTAGCGTAGTACTACCGACTGCAATTATGTAAAAAATGTCTCCCTCTATAATGTGATATTTTTATGATTTTGATTACTGCATTTGATTTAACGTAGTCAGAGTTCTTGGCATGGAGTTGGACAAAATTTGTTAGTTTTTCATTAAAAGAAAAATTCGAAAAAACAGAAAAATTATTTCAAGAAAATCGATCAATACGGGATTTTTTTTTTGAAAACAGCATTTTATGTTAAAAATTTGAAAATTTTTTAATAAAAAAACGCTTTTGAAAAGTTTTTCGATTTTACATTCCAAAAATGTTTTGAAAATGAAAACTCAAATAAAAATTGGTCCCTAACTGCCCATTTCTCTCAAAGATAGGGGATTTTTTTTTCTTCTTTCAACTGTTAATTTTTAAGTTTCGGCAACCCCCACCGAAAATATTTCTGTGTTAAAGTTCTCAAAACTATATAACTTTCATTTCAGATCGATGTTAGGTTGTTCTAGTTAAATTTATGGAATCGAAACCTTACACTAATATCCTAAGACATAACATATAGAATATCACATAGGTGGCAACCCTACTGAAATATATATCTAAATTGTTGCTTTTTAAAATGCTTCTCATTTGATACCCATTCTATGATGTCTTGCTTAGTTTTTAAATAATTTGGAATAAGTGGCAACCTTATATGAATACTTTCGGAGATATTTCCTATCCAGACAACTCTAAGATGCAAAACATTATCTGATTACAAAATTTCAAACAAGAAAATCGTTAGAACATTTTCCGAGAAACATATGGATATATGTAAATACAAAAAATCGTCGGCGATACTGTAAAACATTCAAAACATGAAATTTTCAAAAGAAGAGATATATAAGAACATGACGTAGTATTCAAATGATGATAAACTGCATTCTTAGTTTTGTTCTATCACGAAATTTTTTGGAAATATTAGTGTACTACGTTTTTGATTTTTATTGAGTTAGAAGTTATATCTTTGTCATTAAACACATTTTATTTATAATTTTTAGTACTTCATTTGTTCAAGGACCCACTGAAATTATTCGACGAATAATTTTGTTGAACCACTTAAGAAGTCAGTACTAGGTTGATAGGAGCTTTGCCCGGAGTGCATATACTTTTCAAAGTTTTTAAGGTTTGGATATTAAATACTTGTCATTTGGATAGCTTTAAAAAAATATTTAGGCAATAACAGAAAAAATTAGATTTCGATATCTTTTAAGTAAATTGCTTACTATTAAATTTAGGTGGCAACCCTATTTCGAAATGCATTGGAATAAGTAGAACATATCTTCAGCACATTTGTACTATGTATCCATACAAAAAAATGATGATCGAAATTAACAAAATAACGATTTTTATTACATAGACGCGTGGCAACCCTGATCGAAAATATTTTCGGATCAAAGTTCCCAACAATACCTTTCATTTCATATCCAAATTGCGATGTTTAGATAAATTGTGTAAAATCGAAAATAAGTGGCAACCTTACACTATTATCCTAAGGGATAAAATTTTATATATAGGGAAAGTATTGTTTAAGAACCATCTCTTGGTACCCATGAAAAGTCATATTTTAACTTTTTTTCTAAACAAACAAGTAAGAAAGTCTAAGTTTGGGCGGAGCCGAACATTAAATACCCGGCATGCTCTAGGAATATTTCTGCTTCAAAAATAAAATTTTGAAAAAAATGTCGCTTACGATATTTTGGCGGTTAGGGTTCGATTTCTACTACCATAAATTCAAAAGCAATCAAAAATTGCTTTTCAATAAAGACATCGAAAATTACAGTTTTGTTTTCTTAAACGAGATTCGTTTTTCCCCACCTTTGCTTCTACAATATTTATTTACTAAACATAATTTAAGGATGCTTCAAAAAGATTAATTTTTTCGTAATTACCCAGATACAACGCTTTTTACTTTAAGTACACTTTGAATGCTCGAACGTCTTCACACACATTTTAAAAGTAACTTATTTACTAAGCCAATGAACAGTATTACCACTTGTATATACTAGAGGTTTACGCCGATAGATATTGCGGCGGCGGCGTCGTCAATCTTAGAAATAATCGGCGGCGGCGGCGACGCCGGCGCCTCAAATAGCGCCGGCGCATCTGGCCATTAGCCACATACCAAAGAGCATAGAAAACCATGAAGCTGCTAAACTTATCCTATCATTTTGTGAGCGTCAGCCATTCACCACTCTTATTCAAGTTGGAATTTTTTTAAATTCCATTTTTAATAAATATCAATAAATTGAAATTTCTTCTAATTCCTGCTTGAATAAGAATGATGAATGCCTAGTGCTGGAGGTATGTATTGAGCCAATTAGAAATAACTTAAGCCTTAAATTGTTGACTAGGCACTTTTTTATTGAAATAACATAAAAAACAACAAAGTAGTTGTAAAACAAAAAATGAACTTAGCATTTCTTATGCTGGTTAAAGAATAGAAATATTAATTCACAGTCATATGATTATTATATAGAAATCTATGCATACATACAGACACATACAAATATGTGTTGTTGCTAAAGCAATCAAGAAGTTACAATAAGAGGTTCTCTTTACAAGAATCATAATTGTCATGAATAAAAATTATTTTGTTAACATTGTGAGGACTCAGCTGCGACCTTTTATTAGTAATAGTAAGTCCAGCAATAGAAAACACACGTTCGCTTGGTGTACTTGTTGCCGGTATGCACAAGACTTTTTGTGCTAATATAGATAGTAAAGGCATAGAACATGATTTTTCTCGCCAAAAATTCAAGACGTTTTGGGTTGATGATAAGCTCAACAATAAATGGCATTCCGCTTCCAGACTCATGTCTTTAGAATTTGAAGAGTGCCTCTCAGCAAGCTTCATTATTTTGCTGGTAGAAGGAGTGTTATCCGAAGCATTCTGATTACCGCAATTGATTTGAACATCTCCAATTAATCTTCTATACATTTTGATCAAGAACTGCATATTTGTTAAATTCTGTGCTCTACAATATTTAGAAATACAATTCAGGGAGCTGAATCGAGGATCCAGTAAAGAAGCGCAAACTAATATGTCAGACATTGGAAATCTGTAGTCCAGTCTACTTTTCATGTTATTTTTCATTTGATCAATAGGACAAAAGTCGAAAGAATGCAAGTTATTGCCGCTCAAATCACTACCATCATTCTCTCCTAATATTGACACAATTTCTGTTCTAATAATTAATGCCAGAGAAATAGATGGATATGAATCCCCGGACAGAATGTTCACAGAATCTTTGAATTTTTGCAAAAAGTCTCTCAATTTGTATACAAGTTGTGCTTCAGTCTCTAAAAGTATTAAGTCAGTCTTATTGCACTCTGTGAGCAGTTTATTTATTGCGGTTCTTTGAGATCCAAGACTGTCTAACATTGACAAGACGCTATGCCATCTAGTTACGACTGCGTTTTTGAGTGTGATGTTTCTCTTTTCCACCAAACTACCATGCAAATCATTAATATTGTTTATATGTCTATACGTTTCTAAAGGAACATCATCCAGCGGTCCAAATCCATCTTCATAATCCATCCAATAATCATCTTCGGAAGCAAGAAGCTCTTCCAAATTGTCGATACTTGACAAAATTTGATTTTGTATCGAGTCTGCTTGACATCTCAAAATGTGGGTTTTAAACCGCAATGCTCTCACAATACTTTTGCATTTTATAATTAAATTTCTTAGTTCAGGAACAGAATTGTAGCCATCTACACTGAGTAAATTGTGTAGTCCATGTCCAAGGCAGAAATGGTTCTTGATACACCCTAAACTAATGGCTTTTTTTATATTGCTCCCTTGATCGGTTACAACAAAATTAGAATCCAATCGCAAATTGAACTTATCTGTCACTTCTTGAAGTTCAGCTAAAATATTATTTGCCGTGTGAGCCTTGGATATATATTTGGTTTCCAGCGTTAGGTGTTTCATCTCAAAAAAGCGTGTGAGACAATGAAATGTAAAGGTAATATAATTTCTTCTTCGGAAATTATCCGTCCACAAATCAAATGTTAAGGCAAAGTGTCTTTGCCCATATATTTCACGTGTAACTAATTTTAAAACTGCTTCATATACATCGTCCAACGCTGTTGTTGAAAGTGTTTTGTAATGAGGAATATCATCATCAGCTACCGCTACTTTATATTTTTTAAGGAAGTCTTTAATTCCATTGTGGGAAATAACATGGAATGGAAGCAGGTCTCTTGCCATCCACAAAGCTAGATCTCTTCCTAGAATCCATTTTCGATCTTTTGAAGACTTTGGAGGTACCAATTTGTTAAAGAATTTGGATATTGGAGTGAGCGAATTGTTCTCAGGGTCGACATCACGTATATTGTGTTCATTTTTTAGATGGCGCGTTAAATTCCCGGTTGAACAGCTTTTACTGTATGACTGAATTTTAGCACTAAAACGAATGTCAAATATTAATTAAATACAAAAAAGTGGATAAATTACTTTATACCATGAAAAAATTACTGTTCCATCTTCTTTTTTCTGTTTTTCTAAACATATCTTGCAAAAAACTTTATCTTCTTCAACACTTTCGCCTTCTATAATCAAAGTTCCAAAGTAGTCCCATACTTTGCTTTTTCGGTTGGCACATGAACGCTTAAGATCTATTTTATAGCCTTCCACTGACTTATCCATCTGTTTAATGCCAGAATTAAAATATTTGCGAAATATTAATATTAAAATGAATTACCAAACTTATTTGTGAATCTATCTAAAACAACCTGTTGCACTCATTTGTGATTCTATACCAGCTGTCAAATATTCTAAAGATGGGACAATAACAGAGCTGTGCTTTTATTCGATTACTCATCCTACTTAAGTAACTGGTTGTTTGTGTTAATCAAAATAATGTTCAATAATCTAATATTTTTAGTAGCGAAATTCATAGATTGTTCTATGAAATGTGAAGTGAAATTGAAAAATTCAACGTCAGTGACAATTTCCCTTTATCATTTTGTTATATCATTTTAAGCGATTTAAGCGATTGCCTTTAACATCTGGCAAGTAATTATTTAGTAAATTGTTGTGAGTTTAGGACAATGATATTTTTTATCACAAGATAGTGGTTTTGGGGAAAACTCCCAACTTTTCTTTTGCATAGCCACAAAGCTTTGTGAAAGAAGTTTTCACAGTGCAAAATTTTTGACAAATTAGTTTATTTTATGTGAAGGGATGAAAAATGTTTTCACTTCACGTTTTTACAGAACAGGATTTGGCCCCCTGGCTAAACCTTTGATAATGTCGACAAGATAAGTAATTCCTGATCTATAAACTAGTTTAAATAACTTACTAAATTAATAAAATGTACATTTAAATAAAAAATAAAAATTTTTTAAAGTAATTTTAAACGGCTCAATATGAATAAGATACTTTTTACAAAGAAACTTTTTCCGATCGAAAAGCACTATGTTCTTTTAGTGCTATACTTGTTTGAAAAATAAAAGAATTCATGTTCGTAGTAAGCGACCACAAATGACTTTAAACAAATCTTATAAAGATTCAATTTATTTTTATAAAAGGATCATTCCATGTAAAAGAGGAAAACGACGTAAATATTAATATTCAGTAGTAACCTCTTTTTAAATGACTACAATTGAAGTTTTTCACTTTACTTTGGAAGCCGTCATTTTACTTTTTATGAAATCACTTCACTTTGTACAAATTAGGTTTATTCCAAAATAATAAATTTTCTTTGCACGCTTTGTGCTCTCGTTCGGCTGTGTAAATTGAGGTAGCGGCTCACAGCTGACAACAACAATTGCGTACAAAGAGTCGCCGTGTGTAAATGAAACGAGCAACACCAAAAGGGAATATGAAAAATCGCGTCGACAAAAGTTTCCGTGTATAAACACAGACTTTTCGAACTTCCAGCTAAGCAGGGATGCTTATGGCTGAAAGTGGTGCAGGGATGCATAAAACTTTGGGAAATTTTAAGGGAGCGCAAGTCCCTTAAACAACTAGCATCAATGTAATTTCATTGGTTAATATAAAAAATATCAAAAATATAAAAAGATAATCAGCTAATAAATAAATTAAGTCGAATAACCCCACATCCATAATTGTGTATTAAAATAGTCACTACGATAATCACCTAACTTTTCCTCCAAAATCACTCCCAAGCACTTCACTCGAAAATTAGCAAACGACAGCACTAGTACCGAATATACATAATTAGAGTGATAGCGTTTTGCCATCTTGCATTTTATCGTTTCAGTTCGGGAATATTGTTTACTTTTTAATAACAAAATAAACTACTTATTGTTGTAAAACAAATGTGGTTTTAGAATAATTTAGTAAAATCATATAGTTTACAAGTGTTTTAAAAGTGAAAACTGGCGATTTATAGCGTTTTCGACACTGTAATTGTTCATGCTAGGGGACTATACCCCAGAAAAGTTTTTTGTTAATAATTTTAAAATAGTTAACAATATTAACCTTCCACCATCGAAATATGATTATGAGGATAGAAACGCGTCGATTGCTACCTCTCACGACAAATTTGGACGCAATTGTACGATATAGTTCAGTGTTAGTATATCATGAAAATTTTGTACATTAATCCTTAGGCGCCGCACGCCGCCGCCGCCGCCGCCGCGCCGATATTTCTATGACTCGGCGGCGGCGAGTGAAAAATGACAAAAAACGGCGGCGGCGGCGGCGTGGCTCGGCGGCGTATACCTCTAGTATATACATATTTACTTACGATGTGCACTAGTTTCAGCGTTGAATTGGAGGTGTCCACCGCTGCAGTCGGGCAATCTCCATCATCCGCCCATTTGGCACTCTGCCCACCGCCAAATCCTGTGGTAGTGTATACACAAATTACGATTACGGCCACCACGACACAGAGACTGGCCATAATCAGCAAATGTTTGCGCGTAATTTGTTGAAGAAACATTTTAAGTTTTGTATTTTTTTCTTTTTGTTTTTGTTTTTGTCGTTTTGTTACAAAATTAGCATGCGCAAACAAAAGTTTAATGACAAAAAGTCCCTTCTTAAACAACCAGTTGTTAGCCGGAAGATAAGTATATTTATTTTTTTATTGGAATCACAATTAACCACTAAAGAAAAAACAACGCAAATTAAAATTAGGTACCAGACGTGGGCTTTTTTTAATTTTTGTTGAACTTGGTGAAAATCTGCTTTAACTCGATCACAATTAAAAACTGCAAAAAGAGCAAGCGAACCACTCAACCGCTAAGCGTTAATAAAATGAACAAAAACTTGTTAGCAACGTGGGTGTGAGTTACGTTGATTTATGTATGCACATACGCATACATACATATGTACACAATTGTGACCGTGATGTGATGTGAACGTTCAACGGCACTGGGGGCTGGCGATGGCGATGGCACTGCACTGTTTGGATTCGCTCTTAATTCTAAACTTTGTGACTGATTCAATGTGGGATTATATCTCAGTTTTGAGGCGGCGGTCGGCGGCAATCGTTTTAGAATCAATCGTTCGAAATGCATGCACTTCCGTCGTTTGGGCTGATGGCGGTTTCTGCGGCAAATTAACGAACAAATTCAGCGAAAGACACTTTTCAACAAAATTGTTGATTTGTTGAATTCTTTGAACCAGCTAACCTCCAACTAACTACATAGTGTGTAACGGCTGAACTAGCATGCAGCGCTAATCGCTGGCGGTTGGCATTTAACAGCTCACTGCACTGCACAGCATACATATGTACCTTTGTTTGTACTCTCAACTCTCTAGAATTGTGCTTTGCTTGGTTATCTTAATGCAGCGTTTATTGTTAGTAGATACAACTACATAAATATATTTATGGGCAAATATGCTGGTGCGTATGTATGCATTCGCACATACGGGTATGTATGTTTGTGTTGTTTAATTGGCCATAAATACCAAGCAACAAGCTGGCAAACCACTAACAATTTTCACATAGTCTTAAAGCATTGCATACAATTTTGTAGTTGTTTATAGTAAATCTTTAGAAATATATAAAAATTAACTACTTTTGGGGTTATTTTTAGTTTAATTGACTTAAATACATTCCACACTCTCATTTGTTAGAACAACGTCATATTGCCAAAAATCAAAAAAAAAAAATCGAGGAAAATTTAAGAGCCAAAACTTAATAACTAGTTAAAAATTATTTGTTCGATAAATATTTTGAAACAAACTCAACAACTATTTTAGTCGGTTTTCAATAAAGGCCAATCTTTGCAGCCGATTCTTTTGCGAAAAGCTTCGTGTCGTTCAGTGGGAACACCTGCAGCTTCGCTCAAGTTGTGATTTTTTATTTTTTTTGGTTACAGTGGTTAAGGAAATTCTCGCAATAGACACTCTTCACATGATATCATAATACATAAAATTGTATATACCAGCTGTACGAGTACTTAGTTTAGCCAGTGGACCCTCGTCAGTGCAGGACACGAGCATAGAAAATGTTCTACACTCCCGATTTATTTTAGTTCGCGGCAGGTACGGCAGTCTCCAGAGAAAAATATGTTATAGAGAGGCAAGAACTTTGTCGCTATGAAACGTTTTTAGGCTAAGGGATAAAACAGACGAAAAAATAAAGAAAATTCCATAAAGAAGACCTTATTGATTTTATGTGAAAATTCTATTTGATTTTATTTATGAGAATATCTTTTAAGAATCATAAAAAAATTTTGCTTGATTGCATAATTTCAAAGAAACACTTCTTAATTTTATCAAAAACACTTCTTAATTTTATCAAATATTTTCTTAATCATATCTGATGTCTTCTTGAATTCCTTGTAAATTCATATTATTAAATAGAATAGTGTCGTTAAGCCGATTTCATTTGCTCATTGGAACCTTCACTTTTCACTCAACTTGATAAATTTTTTTTTTTAATAAAAGCTTCTAAAATTTGCAAGAGGCCAGTTGAGCCCTCTTTTTCCTTGAGCCTTTCTGTATTTTTAGTTGGTTATATGCATTTTTTAATGCAAAGTGCAGAAAGAGTAACAATTTTGAAGAAAAAGGATTCATACCAAAAACTGGTTGCAAACAACTGTGGGGTTCTTCCAAAACGAAAAAATCACAAAAATTTATATATAAATTATAAATTTTATATAAAAAAATTCTCCAAAGTTTTTTTCTTTTTTAAGTTTTAGAGAGGAAGCATTTCGCTCCTTAAGAGGGATGATTGTATTCATCCACCAGATAATACTGAAGATTTTTTATTGGTCCCCCATTGCATTTTCTGTGAGTTTTAGTGGACCTATAAAGTATAGTTGCCATGAAAAAAAGGTTAAAGAAACAATTGCTATTATTATTGGGAATCTCCTGAAGATAAACAGAGTTTTCCGATAGATAATATTGATTTTGAAGAATTCTATACCATTTCTACGAAAAGTTATTTTTCCCCATATAAAATACATGGAAAACTTTTGATGCTTTGAGCACTCCCTAAATATTTTTTGACCTAAAAATTAAAAAAAAAAGTAGTGGTTTACTTTATTTCCCTTTTTTTGGTATATAACAACCCAGGGGCGGCCGCATTAAAATTCCGACTTTACTTCTTCACATGCATTTTTAAACCAACCGAATGTATACCTTTATTACCGTAAACGAGCTCGCAATTGGATATTTTCTCGAAGGAAAACCGAGTAAAAAATCGTTAATGATTGCCGTTTACGATTCGTTTTCGAGTACTTTTTCGCTTGAAATTGTAGAGCGCCTACGAACAGTCCTAAACGGATCGAAAAAGCAGTCGAATATTACAATTTTTTAAATATTGCGGGTC